TGCAGAGGTTTTTCTTGCTGCTTAGCATTCGAATCAGGGAGCACAGACCCTCACCTTTGGAAGACTGTTGTTCAGATTTCAAAGGGTATTTTTTTAGAGTGAATTGCATTCATGAAGCTTGTCAAATTGTCCAACCTTGTTTCTGTGAAAGAGGCATTGTAGGTTGGATCCTTCCACTGTACAGACCTCCCAGCATGCAGAGAGGTGTGTACACCCCCCTGCAGCACAGTGCCTCTGGGTTTGTAGCTCCTGGGACTGAAAATCCAGGTGCACGGGGCATCTGTGCTCTGGTGAGTCACACCCCGGTGGTGGTGAAACCTTTCGATGCCGCTTTGCAGATGCTGCCCACAGAGACACCCCATGCCAGAGCTGAACAGCACACACGTAGGGCTCAGGAGGCAATTCAGCTTCCCTGCCTATCTGCCAAGACAGTCACCAGTTTGTTGAGATTACTGCTTGCACTGTAGGCATATCTGTGTTAGCCTGAGATAACTCGTAAACTTAAGCTTACAAGGGCCATCACGAAACTTTTACACAGCAACCACACTCACCTATGTCCCCTTTTCCCTGTTCTTTTTCAGGAGGTTTCTGCTATGTGATATAACTTTGGTTTATGGGATCTTGCACTGGTTTCAAGTAGATTGAAGGGAAGGGTGAAAAAAACCAATAGGGCTTCTAAATAAGGCTTTCAATTTCAAGACAGCAAATTTTCAGAAATAACAGGTGCCAGGCAGTACAGAGGTAAAGCGAGACTTGCCGAACAGCAGGCTGAGGTAAACCCTCCAAAGAAAATCAGAATAAGATTTTAGCCATATGCACCAAAAGAGAAAAGCGAAAGCCTGCTAAGCGTGGCCTCCAACTGCAATTGATTTTCATTTCTGTTTTCAGTGAGGATGATGATGCTGAACAGGAGGGCAAAATGGCAAATGGGAATGAAGTTACAGAAATGGAAATTATCACACTGGAAGTGTGGTGAAGCAAAAGAAGTTTAATATATGCAAAATGGGGGGAAAACAGAGACTTTGGATCTAACTTAGGCAATTGTAAAGTCATGAAGACTAGGTCCTGGTATACAGGTTTTAAACAAGTCTGTACAATCAGAAGTGGAGCTCTATAACTAAACCAAAGGGAAAATGTCCTGTTTGTATTCAGATGACTACAAGCCACCAGTGCAACACGGCCATGAAAAGAAAAGTGCAGTCTCTGGTGTGTACCAGAGTTAGTATCCCCTAAGGAGTGTGGGAAGCGCTTGTGCCATTGCACAAGGTCCCACGGGCCTCACCTGTCTTCAGCCTTGGGCTCCAGAAAGGTGACTTCAGAGAGGTGCGGGTACAGGGAAGGGCTCTCACCCCATGCAGAGGAATGGAGAGACTGTCTTACAAATGGAAACTGGAAGAGTAGGGTCATCTGAGCCTAGCCAAAGTAAGTCTGAAGGGAGCTCTGACTGTGCTCGGAAAATATACAAGAAGGTAACCAGCAGGAACAGGAAAAGGCTGTTTCACTAAATGACTCTTCTGGCACAGGAACAGAAAACTGTCGATAAATAGATTTAGGTTGGCAGTTGTACATATTGATGGCCAACTACATAACAGCCACCCAGCAGGTGCAAACAGGTTAATACCCTAATTCAAGACAGGATGGTCACTTAAGGAAAAGGGATTATATGATGGAGCATGGGTTATAGGAAACACTGGATTTGGTGATCCGTGGACTCCCTATATTCTTTTAACTCACTCTGAGTTCAAAACAATTATAGTATCTACCTTTCAAAGTAATAGGACTACCTTTTGACTTCTCACGGAGTGTTGCTATTAACAATATTATCAATGCCACAGCATTGGCAATAACTTTCACTTCTTCCCAGTTATATGAATCCAAACAATGACCTCCCAGTGTTTTTCAGCCTGCACATCAGTTGGTACTTAGTAATCATCAGAATATTTTTATCTACTTCATATGGATACTGCACCTTTTTACAGATTAAAATTACCAATTATACCCAAAATGGTAGATTAACATCCCCGTTAAATTACAGGCAGTGTTTAATGTTTGAAGTTTGAATGCACCTGCATGATTAGACTAACAAGATGTGACCTCTGTGTTCTTCTTGGTGGGCTTACAGGGACTTGAATACTTGCCAGCCAGATTGATCCATGTTCTTAACCCATTTTGCAAATGCAATTACCAAGGGGCTTAGATAAAGTCAGTGCAAGAGAAAATGAAGTTATTCATGGGCAGGATAAGTCTGTTTAATACCACAGAAACTATTCCTTCATTTGCCAGGAAGCCCTTCAAAATTATTTTGTCACAGTAGCTTTTCCACGTTGGCAAGTTAGCTCCAAGGGTACAGCTGTATACCAGCTGAGGCAAAGGGTAAGCTTCAGTTAGCTTTAGCAGGAGCAGGGCTTAAGAGCATGTTTGCGTCCTGCGGGAAGACACCCACACTGCTTCACCAGTGCTAAGGCCAGAAGCAGAAGCTCTGGGGAGCTCTTGTCAGAACAGTGGGAAGAATATGTAAATAATGTAGTTAAGAATATACCATATACTGGTATACTGCCAGTTTTATAAGTCTTGTCCAAATTCCTGGCTGCCTCTGGGCATAATCCGCACAGAGGCAGCTGAAGTGCTAATGAACTTGCACTCGTGGCAGTGCAACGTGGGAAGCAGGAAAGGTTAATAACTGATGGGACTGGCTTGGCCATGCATGTCTGGGAAGCAGGGATAGTGAGCAGGGAGAAGAAAGTGCACAGATGCCTTCTTTAAATTATGAGAACGTCTTTGGATAGGGTAGGAAAGGTAAAATAACATTTTGGCAGAATTTTCTAGCTACTCTGCATGAAGGGGGACATGCAGACATACTTGGGAACAAAGGTGGGCAACAGCAAATTAGTATCTCACCTAGGTAGTGACTCAGCGCTTAAGCATAAGACCTGCTGCCATTTTACATGCCAAAGGGTACCTGAGCCACCCAGAAGAGATGTCCTGGCAGATTAGACTCAGGACCTACAGAATGGCTGTGTGCTCCTGGAATGCCAGGCAGGCACCCTAGGAGATACCAGAATGGGCCAAACACCTATCTTCAGGTACCTTACTCACCCTGTAATAACCAATTTCTTGCTGAAATCCCTCCCCCTCCACCATCTTCAGTACCAAGAAGCAAACAACATTGCCAGAAAGCCAAGACAAATAAAAATCCCAAGAAATGTGTGATTTGTTACCAGTCTATGCTAATGCTGCCTGAAACAAGGTAGTCAGATCTGGCATTGTAAGGCTTTTATACCTGTTATTGTGCTAATGAACCTATACTGTTTATGGGGTGGCTCTTTTCTGCCTAGTGTTGCTTTATAGAGCATCCTTGAAATAACAGTGCAAATGTTAACTGATCACAGCTTTTAGTTAGAGGGATTTTTTTAGCTGATTTGCTGAGTTAATCGGCCGATGTTCTTCTTACCTATACCTTACCAATTGTAATCTTGAGTTTAGAAGTGGTATAATCATATTTAGGAAACATGGTTTATTACCTGAAGCCTTGGTTCTGAGAAAAGATTGCTTGTGGACCCAACCATTAAGAATGATTGACCTGCTGCTCAGTGCTACCTGCAAGCTCAGGTCTCTGCTACCTTGGAGATTTCTCCATCGCTTGGTGTACAAAATGAGTACTCTAGATCTATGGTCAGGCAGTAGTCATCCCCTAAGGGTTTCATGAGGCCAGCTGCAGTCGTTTATGTACAAGATCAGTATGTTACTGTTGAATAGGTCCTTGGAGTTGCCAGAAGTCAATCTGGGGGTGCAGATGTCTGCCAGCTGCATGCATAAAGGCATTCTGTGCTAGGCATTTGGAGTGCAAAGTGCCTGAAGATGGGAAGCAGCATGAAGGTTACATGCCTATATGGACATTGGCAAATACGTTATACAGAAAAAAGAATCAAAAGCTTATAGCTGAAAACCTCTTTGTTTATTCAGTGTATTATATACAGGTGTCTGTGAGACTCATGAACTCATCTCTTTGTTCCCTTTTGTCTGTGGCCACGAGGAGAACAAAAGTGCCTTTATTTCCCTCAGCTTATTTAAAACATGTACATATCTGCATGAAAAGTATGGTTGTAGTCAAACCTCACACTCAAGAGAGCTGAACACAGA